ACAGCACCACCTAACCTAGCTGTGCGTCTTGCCGCGTTGGTGCTGTTGTGTTAGGTGTGAACTATGGCCCTGTGGAGCATTGGGTAACACAAGCGATTGCCTAAGCCAGTTGTTGTGATGATGTCGTAACCCGTTGGACCTGGCCAGGGTTTGGCTGTCATGTGAGCCCTTGTTCTCTATCTTCCCTGCCGAGGACGTCAGGGTACATGTGCGTGTGTGCCTGCGTGTGTCATCTTGTGTATGCATGCCTTTTTGATTTCATAAGCAGAAAGAGCTAAAAAATCTGAATTTTATGAGTGAGTATCTGTGTGTGTGTGTTGGAGGTGGCAGCCTTCAGAAGGGCAGACATGTCAGAGGTCACCTCTGACTCAAGGCCTGTGGAATTTAGCCTCACCAAACGAACACAGGACGCCTGAACGGGCTCCGTACCCCACGAACAGCAGCAGGAAACGGGAGTTCATTAAGAAAACGACATGTTGCTCCCACATTAACCCTTTACATTAATGATCACGCTGCAGGAAGCTGAGGATGTGGGGTTTCCCCTCCGTGTTTCCTGGTTTGTGTTCCTCCTTTATTTCCTGATTATTGATAAAAGTTTGACTATTTTCTTTGATAAAGGACCGACATGGCACAGCTTCACAAACTGTGTGCTGCAGCTTCACTGAAGATTAATATCAAGTGGAGATACGAGGCCTCTGGCACCTGATTACTGATTTTTAAAGAAGCAGTTTTGTACCTGTAGCATGCAGCCCGGCAGCCATTGTCCTCTGAAACATACCAACACTGTGCCACTGTACCGACATGCTTTTATTTCTCTGTGAGGAACACGAGGCACATGTGGGTGACTGTTTTTAAGAAACAGCTCACAGTCGATATTTTTAATCTTTCATATTTTTCAAACCTTTCATTTTTTTCATTATTTGGATTTTGATATTTTCAATTATTTTATTTTTGTGCAAATAAATGAAACATGTTAATATATATATTTTGCATAAATCTGTGTGTGTGTGTGTGTGGTGTGTGTGTGTGTGTGTGTGTGTGTGTGTGTGCTGGTCACATAATGACATTAGTGCCTTGTTGTTGTGATGCTGGGCTGTAACGTCCACTGATGGCAGCACTGTTGAGCTTCACTGAACACACTGGTGCAGATTGTCAAACACTTTTGTCGGTTATTCGTATGCTTACGTTGCACAGATGTACTGTGTGACCGCACTCAGAAGTATTTGGGAAAACAGAAAAAGCACTGGGTTTAGTGGTATCATGGTGGTAGGGGTGTGGTGGTGCCTGTACCTCCATGTTCAGGAATATTGATCAGATTGTGTTGGGCTTATCTGATAAAGTGGTTTTCCCTTTTTCTTTTTCTTTTTTTTTTAAATTAAGTAGTGTTGCCTGTTTAAGCAGAGCTGGTCTGAACAAAGGACACATGCACTGATGTCAGCTTTCTGTCTGTTCTGCTTTATTAGAACTCATCATATTTAAAAAATGTTCCAAAATCATCATCAATCAATATCAGCCTGAACTCAGCTGTCTGAGCTGCTCATCACTAAGTCACAGTCCACAGCCCGAACGTCCGTACGTGTTGACTTTCTTCTGCATACTTTGGCTCCAACTTTGCATTTTATCCCTGAGCTCCTGCTGTTTGTTGTTGATCTGATAACTGAATAAATATTTATATTTCTTTTTGCCTGCTATGCTTCATTAATTTCTAAAAAAGTGATTTATTGATTCCATTTAGTGACTAAAAGGAAATCATTTAATGGCGCTACAGTCATTTGTTCTGAACATGAAGAAACCTGCACGCTACCTACTGAGTGTGATTAATAAATGATCACCCACACTGCCCATGTTTAGGAGCATTAACGTACACGTCGTGTGGATAATTAGTCACACAGACAGTGGAAATAATTTTATAACCCACCTCAGTGAAAGCCCTTATGCTTTTAACTTCTGGAAGTAATTTAATCAATTGCAGAGCAACTGTTCTAAGGTCTGATAGGATCCACACATGCAGGCTTTTATGGTTGTATAACTACCTACATTTTAAGGCTTTTCATTGTTAATATAAGCCTTTTGCAACCAGCCCATTTATTTTATTTTTCTTTTCTTTTTAGAAGAAGCAAGTGAGAAGAGGCACATTTTTAGATCTGCTCGTGGTTTATTCTTTGTTTTTTTTTTAAATGTTTGGCAGTGAATGTATTACCCTTATCACAGAGAATCTTATTTAAAACACACAAAGCAGATGTTTGTTTTAAATAACAGACAACATTATTTGTTTGTAAATCCAGTTTTTCTCATTTGGAGCAACATGAAAAACGTTAATGAACAAAAAGCTTCACGTTCAATTTATTTTTATGCTGATTCAGCTGCTTGGATAAAATAAGAGAGTGTGCTTTATTTTCATTAGGACTGTTTTGGCTTTTTTCATATTTAAGAAGTAAGTTAAATGCAGCTGGAGTGGATTTTTTATCAGCTCATCCTAAATCCTAAACAAATTCACACACTTTTTTGTTTTAAATGGGAATTTATTCCGACTATAAAAATTGTCAGCAGCTCTCAGAATGTACAAAATGCCTCTGTGCCATTTTTAAACAGTGCTGTAAATAGTTTTGCTCAAAGTGATTAATTTCTCCGTTTTCCAAGGCCACACATTTTTTCAAAGGCTTACTTTGAAAAAAACAACAGATTCCAGTGAGGACTTTTCTTGTACTTTTGACTTTTTTTTTTTTTTAACTCAGTAGCTGTAAACTGTTCAGACTTATTGTTTGTAAATTACATCTTATTGCTGGTATAAATTTCAGCTTTGAGCTTTTCCCTCCTTCGTCAGCTCAACTCCAGAAAGAACTCACAAAAACAAAAACTCAACTTTAACTTTCCAAAACTTTTACTGAACATTCAAACCAACTTTTACAACAGCTGCTGTCCAACATATGGCTGCGTGTGACGTGTATTTTAATGCATGCACAGGTGACACACATTTTCTAATTTATCAAGCAGGAACTCTTATTTCAGATTAAGAAAGATAACTTCAACAGAGAGATTCAGCTCAGGTACTCACGAGTAAATTATGAACACACAGTAGGAAATGTCAGGTCCAATCATTTCTCAACACCTTCTTCAGAAAGTGAAAATATGTTCCCCAAAAAAATAAAAAAAAAACACAAAATCATCATGTTTAATGGGAGAAGCAGGAAGCAGCAGTCCTGACTGTGTGGCATTAAATTCTTGTTTTAGACTAGTTGCTCTGAGCTCTTTGTCGGTGGATTTGCCCAGGCTCATGACTCAGTGTTGCTCATCGTGTAGGAGATGATTCGCCCGCCATTTCTGAAAACTCTTTCTCCCCTTCTTTGTTCTTGCCTGTTTACTTTATTTCCTGCGCTGATGCGTTTCTCCCGTTGTTTTCTAATTGTTCTTCGTCTGCCGAGAGCTCACGTTCAGCTCGTCGCCCGGCTTTTTTTTATGTATTTTTTTAATTAGTTTGATGCGTTTTTGTGTGTGTGAATGTGTTGGGCATTTTGTTGAAGTGGGGGATGGTAATAGGAGAGGCTTTGTTTCCCTCCAAAAAAAAAAATCCTAGCTTGATTTTTGATACCGTGTCCTCACCATTTCTATTGTGTAACTTAAAGCGTGATCCATCTGTCAGACTTCCTGACTGCTTTCTGCCCATCCACATGTAGGATATCCATTACCTGTTATAAAGTTAATCATTACTGAAAGGCTTCCTTGTTGTAAACTCAATCGTTTAACACAATCTGCTTTTTTTCTCACCATAACATAGGTGTGTGTATATGTGGAGGTAGTTGGGTGGAGGGTGGGGGGGACGGAAATGACTCGCCTCCTTCAGAGAAAGTTATCAGCTATAAACCCAACCGAATGTGACTGGGCTGCCCACGCAGAACCTGCCCGAACATCTTTGATGTGTCTCTGGGCTTTGATGATGAACAAAAGACGTATAAGTGGAACATAAGGAATGCCTTGAAACAATAGCTCAGGGATGTAATTCAGTGTGTATCGCCACAAAGAGAATAAGTGAAGGTCTTTAGTATGTATTTGTTTAGTGATTAATCACTAACTCCAGTCTAGGGATGGGCCACTGGTTCGCTATTCTAGGGCATTCTCTGCAGTCTCTCACGTCTTTTTTTTTTCTTCTCCGAGTGTGTGTGTGTGTGTGTGTGTGAGAGAGAGCCGAGGGAAGGGGGGGTTCGGTAGTATGCTTGTAGTTGGTGGCTGAATCTTGTAAAGGGTTTCCTAATATGGGCCGTCTTACAGGAGCGCCCTCCCCCTGTGGGCCATCCCCCCCGGTCTCAGCCAGTGATGACACAGCTCGGGGACGACTCACTTCCTCATTAATTGGCTGAAACCAGTTCTTACAGGAACCGCCAGTGATAAATGTGAGAGTTCTGAGAAGTCATTCATTTCTACTCGCTGCAGCGGCAGAGGAGGCACTGCAGGGGAGTTGAACGGGTTCACCGCTGTGTGTGTGTGAGTGAGGAGAGGAAGCCGAGAGTGTGTGTGTGTGCAGAGCAGAGCAGAGGCTGTGTGGTGATACGCTGCTGCTGCTGCTGCCGCCGCCGCCGTACGGGACCAGACAACTTTATCCTGCTGCTTCTCTGCTCATTGTGTTCTTGTTTTTAGCTGTTTTAGCTGTTTTAGTCGTGTTACGCTCTGTGTGTGTGTGTGTGTGTGTGTGTGTGTGTGTGTGTGTGGGATGAGCAGCGAAGGCATCGCACTCGTCGCTCTCTCCGTCTTTCTCTCTCCTCGGAGAGAGGAAGCAGGCGAGACCGACCCTGTACAGGAGATAGGACAGCATGCCTCCCTTTGTTGCTGCCCTTGGGCTGGTGAGTAACAATGACGTGACGTGATTTGTGCCCCACCACCTCCCTCCCC